TTTTTTTTTTTTTCTGTTAACTTCTCTTAAGAAATTTCCTTTAAGGAATTCCTCTTCTTAAAGTTATTTTTCCAATAAATTTCAGCAATATAAAGATTTTATATGATTCTGATGGACACAGAATTTTATCAATAAATCCATTTTCCTTTTGGTCTTGGTTACTAGGAAACAACTGGATAGCACCTTATAATGACAAATAGCAACACTGACTTTATCTTAGGTTTCTATCCTTACTTGTCCTTGATCTTTGAATACCATTTTACTTTCTTGTTGTCCTGCTCTATTGTATATATCCCAGTAAACTGTCTAAAATAAGTTTTGGAAATAAAGCAGGGTATAACACCATTAACAAAAGGTCTGTAATTTTCTATTAATCCAACAAGCATTTACAACACATCCTACTGGACAATGATTCTGAAATTTTTCAAATGTTAAAATATGTTAGAGATTTAAGGAATTCAGAACATATGTCATTATTATCATTCTGCCTGTATTTGTATTCAAATGCAGGGAAAAATGGAAAATGCATTCTTTAGGTTTCATCTCAGAGTAAGTTTGCTCTGACAGGTTACAGATATGTGATTAAGAAAAAAAAATCACTCTGATATTTTTAGGAGTGGCGGCTGACTAATCTTTCTAATCCCCTACTCCCTCCTCGTCTAACCCTTATATAGGTCAACAAAGCTTAATAAAGCATTAATGGAGAAAAGAAATTACTACTTTTCTGAATCAGTTTCTAAAATCAAGAACACTTTCATGAAAATTTGAACAAGGGTTTGTTTTTATGAGGTCTTGATATTTTGAGATAACATTCTAGATGTTTCTAAATTATAGCAAATAGGGTGGGGCTCTGTCCCTTCAAACCACAATCTTTGGGCCTTATGAAAGGAAAATGCTAGCATGAGGGAGAAATTCTGAAATTAACAGGTGGAAAAAAGGATTCTTTATATTGAATGATAAGTAATTGGAGCTTAAATATGAAAACTGTTAACTAGAGGAAATGATTATTGTACTGCATCAGGATTTTTTTGGACATACTTTAAGTGCTTTTAAAATAATATATAAGTACATATATTTTACATATATATAACTAAAATTTACCATTTTTAAAAATTATTTATTTATTTGTTTTTGGCTGTGTTGGGTCTTCGCTGCTGTGCTTTCTCTAGTTGTGGCGAGCTGGGGCTACTCTTCGTTGCAGTGCGTGGGCTTCTCCTTGTGGTGGCTTCTCTTGTTGTGGAGCACGGGCTCGAGGCACGCGGGCTTCAGTAGTTGTGGCACGCAGGCTCAGTAGTTGTGGCACACGTAAAATTTACCATTTTAACAATTTTTAGGTGTATAATTCAGTGGTATTAAGCACATCCACAACGTTGTGCAGTCATCACTACTATCCATTAGCAGAACCTTTTCATCATCTCAAAATAACCCATCAAAAAATAACTCCCTGTTCTTCTCTCCCCTCAGCCTCTGCCTCTATGAATCTGCCTCTTCTAGTTCCTCAGATAAGTGAAATCATACTCTATTTGTCCTCTAAGTGTTTTGTATAGGAGGGCTTTTATATTAGCTAATTTTGCCTTCTTTTTGGAATTGAAGATGTTCTACTCACTTCATTTCACTAAAAACTTTGCAGAATTCTGTACAGTATGGGTGTTTTAGCTTGGGTTTTTTTTGCATATTACGTAATTTTTACAGAAGGAAATAATCTCCTGAATAGCAAAGTACTCTAACTTAAGAAGGATGGTGTAAGGAAGAAAAAAAAAGTTAAAGTCTAAGAAGAGAAAAAAGGCTTCAAAAGAATACCAAATATTGAAAGATGTGTAGATACAGCATGGTATTTAACAGGTATAAAAAAATGTGAAGTAGTAGATCTGTATCACATTTACACATAAACATTAACCCAGCAATGGAATGAAATCACAAATAACTTACCACTGCACATGTGCATTTTTTAAAAGGCTGGAAGGCCATACACCTAAAGGACGATTTCCAGGTAGTGGAATTACAGGTGATTTAAATTTTTTTCCTTTTTGAGCTTTTCTATAGTTTTAAATTTTGCACAATGAATAAGCTTTACAGTATCATTAGAAAAACAAATGTTATTTTAAAAATCACAGTACATTTAAAACACTTTATACTCTACTGATACATTTAAAACACTTTATACTCTACTGTACCATTGTGTTAAGACAAGGCAAAATGACTGCAATTAGCAAGATAAATAACCAGCTTTCTTCTACCAATATCAAAAACACCTCATTAGCAGCAATGAAATTATTATAATAGATAATGAAAAAGGTT